AACGATACAACTGATAAATAGACAGAAGATATGCATAGACACTTCACCAAAGAAGATATTCAGGCGGCCAACAATCATGTGAAGAAATTCTCACGATCATTAGCCATTAGAGAGATGTAAATCAAAACAACCATGAGATACAATCTTGCCCCAGAATTAACAGCAAAGTTCAACAAGACAGAAAATAATTAATGCTGGTGAGGATGTGGAGAGATTGGGACTCTCATACACTCCTGGTGGGACTGTAAAATGATAAAACCATTGTGGAAATCAGTATGGTGATTCCTTAAAAAATTGGAAACAGAAATACCATTTTATTTAGGAATCCCATTACTAGGTATCTGTCTATCCTAAAGAGTGGAGAGGCAGGACATGAATAGATGTATGCACACTCATGTTCATCACAGCACTATTCACAATAGCAAAGAGATGGAAACAACCTAAGTGCCCATTGACCAAGGAATGATAAACTGTGGTACATACACACAATGGAATACTATGCAACCCTAAAGAATAATGTAGAATCTGCAAAACACCACATAATGTGGATGAAATTAGAGGATATTATGCTGAGTGAAATAAGTCAATTACAGGTAGGACAAACATTGTATTAGTCGATTATTGTAAAAAGTCAAGGAAAGGTTTACAGATAGAAGAAAATTTTCTTTGTTGGTTACCAGACGGGGGGTGGGGAAGGGAAAATTCCTAGATAGGTTGGGGGGGGATATACATGTAAATGAAGATTATTAGGGGTTACTAGAGGTAGGAGGGAGGGGGAAAAGGGATGCTTTTGTTTGAGGGGCACTGAGTTTACGCTAAAAATGGTGGAATATTTTGGAAAAGGATAGCAATAATGGTGGCAGAACATGAAAAAGTCATCCTTGTCTCTGAGCTGTGAATGGTGAAGTTGTCATGTTGGCGAATGTATTGCTGTTTATGTTTTTACCACACACACACACACACACACACACACACACACAAGCATGGGTACCAAGAAATACCTGGGTTTAAACCCTAGGTTCAAGCCTTAATAGCTGTGTGAAAATTGTTTAATATTTCTGAATTATAGTTTCCTTATATGTAAATAAGGGTAACACTTTCTACCTCACAGGGTAACTATATGAACTGGTGGAAATAATGCAAGTAAATATCAAGTATAATGTCTGAAATCAAGCAGAAATTTAATCAATGTCAGTTCTTCCTCTCCATATCCTGTCTTCCACTAAAATGTAAGCTTCATGGAGAATGGGGGAGGTCAATACTTTCTTTTGATCTTTTTAGGTGCTCATTAAATACTATCTTAAACACTGCAGACTCTCATTAAGTAGTTCTTAGGTTACTTTTAATTAGTTAGGATGACTTTTAAATGTTAACTATAAATAAATTAGTATAGTAAATTTGAGAGAATACTTACTAATATTCATAAGCTTTCTTTGATTTTTGGGGAAAAAATCTTATCTCGGGATATCTCTGAACATTTTCTTGGGCACAAAAAGAATGATACTGCTGGCAATCTACACTGCCAACATTGATCAGTCCAGTTAACGTCTATACAAGGAAAAAACAAGAAGAGATAACGATATTAAAGTGATTAGAATAACATTACCTTTACAATTATTTTATATAAGTTTTACAAAAAAGAAACTGCCACTGTGAAATAGTTATATTTCAGTGGTTTCAACCAAATAAAAATGGATAAGGGCTTACCACATAATGGACCATTTACAGTAATGAACTGGAAATCTAATTTTGTGGTCAAGAACTTATTACAATTATTGCAGATTAAACAAGTGACTTTGCACATTATAGGAGCAACTATTTGTATTTCTAAAATTAAAAGGGTTACAAACAAAGTACTAATGTCTTTACAATGTTGTTTCAAAGAATTATATTTTTAAAATGCAAACAAGCATTACAGGTATACTGACTCATACAAGAATTTTAAAAAAATCACTGAAAAGAATTAAAAAATGTATCATCACAAATGTTAAAATGTTAAGATAATGGCAATCACTTTAACTCTGAAGTTTGATTTATATATATGAAGTAATAATTGCATTTCCAATTCTCATGTTCAAGTAAATTATTTCCAATCTTTCATGATTTATAACATTGTGTCTATACATAGGAAATTTCCTAAACCCATATATTTTAATGATAAAGACTATTTTTTCCTTATTTTAAGCCCCACCTTATTGTAAAAGAACTCTGTCTCAAAGCTCTAAAAAGAAAGACGGAAAAGAAATTTAAATAGAAAATAAAGGGGATCTTTGGGTCAATGTTTGCAACCATTTAGCTAAAAGTACACCAGATGACACAGAAAAAAAACAGGCAAATCATTCTATGCCACTCACATACCAGCAGTTAGAAATAGCATCAGAATTTAAATGGAATGATCAGAGCTGTTTCTAAATGATAATCTAGTTGTGGGTTCATTTATCTTAGTTTCAAAATAATAAATAACCTTAGCAAATATTAACATTTAAAAGAAGCTATTTTACTATACCCGAGCCATTCTTTTCCATTCTGGCATTAAGATTTGACATGGATGACACCACGGAGAATAGAAATCAATCATCCAGACTTCATCATGTTTTCTTTGTTTCACTAGTTGATTGAAAGTAGTGGGTGTAAGAGAGACCACTGAAGGATTCCTAAGATCCTAAAGAGAATATAGTTTCCATTATAGAAAATATAAAAAAGATTTATTTATACATTCTTAGTAAACTGTTAGTATATATCATTTAGAAAAGTTCCTGCTTTGGGGAACTCAAAGGTACTTAAGGATATTTAAAGAAAGTTGGTGAATCTTAAAGAGTGAGAAATGAGCCACTAATGTTTTTTAAGTTTGGATTTTGCATTTATTAAATCAAGCAGTATTTTCCCCTCATCTCTATGTATTACTATCATCATCTTAGTCTGGGAAGAGAGGCAACTTTATTTAATGTTATAGGTGGATGGTTTCAGTGAGGCTTCCAGACAAAGTCTGAAAGGACAGGGCCATCCACATCTGAAAAAACTGGCCAAAGAAAATCTTTGAATAGCACTGATACACTGTCTGATACGTTACTGGAAAACTTTATGAATAGCTATGAAATGCTGTCTGATATAGTGCTGGAAGATGAATCCCTGAGGTTGGAAAGCAGTCAAAATACGGCTGTCTCCCCAAAGTAAGAGTCTAACTTAATGATGTGGACGGAGTAAAGTGTTCAGGACCTTCATTTGCTGATGGGGCAGGACTCAAAATGGGAAAAAAACTACTACAAACATTCATTAATAATTAGAACATAGAATGTACAAAGTATGAATCCAGGAAAAACTGGAAGTAATAAAAAATGAAATGGAATGGATAAACATGGATATCCTAGGCACCAGTGAACTGAAATGGACTGTTACCGGCCATTTTGAATCAGACAAACATCATGTTCTACTATGCTGGGAATGGGAGGGCATTCATTGTCATAAAGAACATCTCAAGATCTAGCCTGAAATACAGTGCTGTCAGTGACTGGATAATATCCATATGCCTACAAGGAAGACCAGTTAATACTGTTATTCAAATTTACACACCAAGTACCAAAGCCAAAGATGAAGAAATTGAAGATGTTTACTGGCTTCTGCATGTTCTGACTAAACATGCAATCAAGATGTATTGATAATTATTGGTAATGTGAAAAGCTGGAAATAAAGAAGAATCATCAGTAGTTGGAAAATGTGGCCTGGGTGATGGAAATGATGCTGGAGATTGCATGACAGAATTTTGCAAGACCAATGACTTACTCATTGCAAATACCTTTTATCCGCAACATAAAAGGTGCTGGCTATACACATGGACCTTGGCAGATGAGAATATGCAAAAACCAGATAGACTACATGTGTGGAAAGAGGCGAGGGAGAAGCCCAATATCATCGGTAAAATCAAGGCCAGGAGCTGACTGTGGAACAGACCATTCAAGTTGAAGCTAAAGAAAGTCAGTCTGTGAGAGCCAAACTATGACCTTGATTATATTTCACCTAAATTTAGAGACCAGGAGTGAAGACAGATGAGTTGTGAGATGAAATCAAGAACATCATACACGAAGAAAGCAAACGGTCATTAAAAAGACAGGAAATGAAGAAAAGACCAAAATGCATGTCAGGAAAGACTCTCAAATGTAAAGAAGCTGAAGTGAATGGAAGAAATGCTGAAATAAAAGAACAGAAGATTTCAAAGGTGGCTCGAGAATACTTTGTCTTGCATGAAAAGTGCAAAGACCTGGAGTTAGAAAACCAAAAGGGAAGGACACACTCAGCATTTCTCAAATTAAAAGAACTGAAGAAAAAATTTAAGCCTCAACTTGCAATACTGAAGAATTCTATACACAAAATATTGAATGATGCAGAAAGCATCAAAAGAAGATGGAAGTAATACACAGAGTCACTGTATCAAAAGGAATTAATTGGTCAGTATCCAACTATTTCAGGAGGTAGCATGTGATTAAGAAGCAAAGGTATTGAAGGAGGAAGTCCAAACTACACTGAAGGAATTGGCCAAAAAAAAAAAAACAACAAGGCTCCAAGAATTGATGGAATATCCACTGAGATGTTTCAACAAATGGATGCAGTATAGGAGGCACTTACTTGTTTATGCCAAGAAATTTGGAAGACAGCTACTTGGCTAACTCACTGGAAGAGATCATTATTTGCGCTCATTCCAAAGGTGATCCGTAAGAATGTAGAAATAATTATCAATATCACACACAAGTAAAATCTTGCTGAACATAATTCAAAAATGGTTGCACTATTATATTGACAGGGAACTTCCAGAAATGGAAGCTGGATTCTGAAAAGGATTTGTAATGAGGAATATCATTGCTGATGTCAGATGGATATTAGTGGAAGGCAAAGAATACCAGAAAGATGTCTACCTATGTTTTAATGACTATGCAAAGGCATTCAACTGTATGGATCATAACAGATTATGGGTAATATTGTAAAGAATACGAATTCCAGAACACTTAATTGTTCTCACGAGGAACCTATACAAAGACCAAGAGGCTGTCATTGAAACAGAACAAGCGGATACTGTATGGTTTAAAATCAGGAAGGTTGTATTGTATGTCAGGTTGTATCCTTTCATCATACTTATTCAATATGTATGCTGAGGAAATAATCCAAGAAGCTAGACTCTATGACGAAGAACCATTAACAACCTGCAATATGCAGATGACTTGAAGCTCTTACTGATGACAATCAAAGACTACATTGTTTAGTACAGATTGCAGCTCAACATAAAACGAAGATCCTCAAAACTGGACTAAAAAACAAAATCATGATAAATGGAGAAAAGACTGAAGCGGTCAGGGATTTCATTTTACTTGGATCCAGTCAACACCCATGGAAGCAGCAGTTAGGAAATCAGACATTGTATTGCACTGGGCAAATGTGTGGCAAAAGACCTCTTTAAAGTGTTAAGAAACAAATATGTCACTTTGAAGACTAAGGGATGCCTGATCCAAACCGTGGCATTTTTTTTTTTTTTTAATTGTGATTTGGGTGAAAATTTACAGAGCAAATTCACTTCCCATTCAACAGCTCACATACACTTTGTCTCATGACATTGACCACAGTTTACCACAATGCAACATTTCCCCTCATACTTCCTCCCGATAGTTACCTCTTCCCTGTGTCCATCCCTCCATGCACTCCTGCCCCCTGAGCTGTCTCCTTGTGCATAAGCAGCCCTTCTTTCTCCTGTGATTGTTCTCTCCAAGGAGTGTATCTACCTAAGGTAAATGTTCAACTCATAAAACCATGGCATTTTCAATTGCCTCATCAGCATGTGAAAGCTGGACAATGAATAAGGAAGACTGAAGAAATGTTAATGCTTTTGAATTGTGGTGTATTGGCAAAGAATATTGAAAATATCGATGGACTTCCAGAAGAACCAACAAATCTGTCCTGGAATAAGTGCAGCCAGAATGCTCCTCGGAAGTGAGAACAGCCAGATGTTGTCTCATCTACTTAGGTCATGTTGTCAGTGGTGACCATTCGCTAGAGGTTATCATGCTTGGGTCAGTGAAGAAGGGAAAGACCTTCAATGAGAAGGACTGACACAGTGGCTGCAATGATGGGTTCAAATACAGCAAGGATTATGAGGATGGCACTGGACTGGGTGATGTTTTGTTCTGTACACAGGGTTACTATGAGTTGTTGTCAACTCAGTGGCACCTAAGAACATGGACAGATGAGTCAAAAATTTAAAGGGTTGACCAGATATCTACATATGCCAAATACTTTTGTTCTGGAACCAAGAATGACTAGTTTGGAAATGACCCCTTATTTACTAATGGAAAGCCTATCATTCTGTTTTGGGACACGCTGACTGGCAATACTGTACTACCTTCCTACAGATTACCTGCTCTAAATGCTGGCTTAACAAAGTTTCTGTCTATTACGATCAGGTAATACTAACCAAGATGTTAGCTTCACCAGAAAAGCGATCAAAACCAAACCAAAACATAACTCAACACTATTAGTTTTGGGAAGGAGAAAGAGGTAAGTAGGACAGAAAGTAAAGTGGTCATTAAATGGGTAATAAGTTGGGATGCTTATTTCTTTCTTAGTCTCCTGTAACTTTTTTAGTCAATCAAGAATATCAATGGGGAAAAAAAAGGAGATACTAAAGGTAAGTAGATATAGGACTTATCTGTGTTCATAAGACAGCAGGTTAAGCATTAAACTGTGTAGGCTTGAAAAAACCCACACCGGAATGGCAAGATTACCATTACCCACACACTTCTTGGATAATATTGGCCTCACTCTTATGTCATCTATTCAGGGCCTGAAAGAAAAATTCTGTGGTGGTTCCATCACAGAAAACGGCAAGGGAAGACAGGTTTTAAAATTTCATATTATCAATACATAAGTGTGTCTACTATGTACAAGTCACTATATAAACAAACAGGTAACAAATCATAGCCTTTATTCTCTCCCAGTTTACAGCCAAATACATAAGAGTAAAACATTTAAAAATAACAGAATTCATTTTCTGATTAGAAGATATCTTGGCATGAAAAGGATAAACCCGATTACTGAGCCACATGAAGTAGACATTCCCACACAGGATTTATAGCCACAGGCTATAATTTAAATACCTCTATGAACTCCAGGATCTGTTCAGCAGAGTGATGGCCTTCATACTCATGAACGTTGGACTGGTTAAAAACCACTGTTGTTGGATAAGCCTGAATGTTATACTGTAAGGAATGAGAATACAAATTAGATACAGATTTACTATATTTTACCCAAGTGTTTAAAAAACAAACAAACAAACAAATAAATAAAAAGCCCCTCGCTAAACTACTGTTGGTGTCTGAAAAATTTCAGCCTGGTCAGATTTAGCAAAGGAAGAGATTCATGATGGTACTGATGAAATACATGAACTTCATTTATGGTTACTCCATTTAGCTATGAAATCCACAGACATCAAACACTGAAAAGTTAGCATGCCTAACCTTTTTACTCTCCTGAACAAGGCTGGAAGTAGGTAGGAAAAGCAAGCTATAGCTCTAGATTGAATCATCTTTTTTTTTTTTTTTTTTGACTCCATAATAGATACTCTACTTTTACCAGAAGCAGAAGAAAATTGTTGAAACAAAGGAACAAGAAAAAATTTGTATACTACTGTATTTTAAATTGGGAGCTTTGGTGGCATAGTGCCTAAGGCATTTGACTGCTAACCAGAAGGCTGGTGGTTAAAACCCACCAGCCACTCCTCGGAAGAAAGGTTGGTCTATCTATTTCCGTAGTGATACCGCCTTGGAAACCCAAGGAGGGGTTGCTTTGAGTCAGATCCGACTTGATGGCAGTGAGTTTGGTTTGACTTTTGTATTTTAAGTTAGGAGCTCCGGTAGCACAGTGCCTAAGGCACTTGACTGCTAACCAGAAGGCTGGTGGTTCAAACCCACCAGCCACTCCTCGAAAGGAAGATGGGGCAATCTACTTCCGTAGTAATACTGCCTCAGAAACCCATGGAGGGATCCCTATGAGTAGGGTCCGACTCAACGGCACATTAACAACAACAACATTTTAAGTTAAAGAATTCTAAAAGAACATGGTCTCTTTTAATCCTAGGAATCAAGACAGCCTTTATGGTACAAAATGCCAGTTTCTGCCTCAGAATTGATATAAGCACTAGCCCAGAAAATATCTTTCTCAAATTTTTATCTATTTATTTTTAAAAGTTATAAATGTACCTCTATTTCTGGATTTAGGAGCCCTGGTCACACAGTGGGTAAGCCTCAGCTGCTAACCCGAGAGGTTGGCAGCTTGAACACACCAGCCACTCCATGGGAGAAAGATGTGGCAGTCTTCTTTTGTAATGATCGCAGCTTTGGAAACCCTATGGGGCAGTTCTGCTATGTCCAATCGGGTCACTATGAATTGGGATCAACTCGATGGCAACAAGTTGATTTTTGGTGAATTAAGGGCCCTGATGGTGCAATATTTAAGTGCTCAGCTGCTAACTGATGGTGGTTTGTACCCATCACAGCACCAAGGGAGAGAAGACCTAGCAATCTGCTCTCAGTGTAGGAAACCCTATGGGGCAGTTCTACTCTGTCCGATAGGACTGCAATGAACCAGAACAGACTTGATGGCAAGCAACATCTACAGATTTGCTGCAGGGCAGCTTTACGTTCTTACCGTTGGTAAGCACACATTAGCAAATGGGATCCTTGAGTAAGATTTAGAAATCTGAATCTCTGACAAGGATTTAGAATAAACAATGGGAACACTTATCCAATTTTTGAAAAATGAATGCAAATTCAAAACATTCAGAGGACTAACAAAGTAACTATAGCTAACTTTTAACAAGTGCTTACTATGTGCTGAGTACTACTGAGGCACTTAACATGTACTTTCTCATCTGTTCTTCAGAATTCTATCTGGTAGCTAAAATTACTACACTCACTGAGGCTTTGAGAGGCTACGGGACTTGCTCAAAATCTACCAGTTAATGAGTAGTGAATTTGGGCCTCTAATCCAGGTGAATCTGATCCTAGTTTTAACACTTCTACTAAATTACATATATGAAATTTAATAAGTTGAAAGAGAAACTAGAAAACTGGAGGAATTCAAGTTAATTGTTTATAAAATTAATGTTCTATCTGGTTGGCATTTCTTTTCAAAGTCACATATAAGACACCCAAACCAAAGTCCTAATTTATATTTGTACTTATTTCTAATCAAGTTTCAAATGACTGGAGAGAGAAAAATCTAACAAATAACTATACATCCATCCTCTATATTTAACAAAGATGAACTTTTTTCCATACTGGCACAGTGCTGAAGTTCTCTGAATACCTCTTCCTTGGTCCCAAGCAGTGTGCCTGGTTTTGAATACTATTCTGCAACCTGAATTTTTTTTTTTTTCATTTTACACTGTATTTTTGAGAATTAACAATGTTGGATCTAGTATTATATGTTCTGTATTACACTGCGTGACTGGAACACTATTTATCTATATACTTGCTATTGTCAGAATCCTCTTTTATGAAATGTTTATAAACTTTCCCATGTTTTTCTATTATTTAAAAACATTGATTTGTAGTCTTTAAATAATCTAGACACTACTGTTCTGTCAGTTACATGTGCTGTAAGTAATTCCTCAGTTTGCTGTTTTACTTTATAGTACCTCTTTCTTTGGTGGTGATTATAAAATTTAATGTAGTAAGATTCATTCATTTTTATCCTTACAGTTTGTATTTTTCTGTACCTGAAGTATGAAATTATTTCCCATATATATGCCACAAAGATTTCCCTACACCATTACTTCTAATACCTTTTAAAAACCAAACATTGCTTTCTTTTTCTCTCCCTTCCCCCTTATCTCTCCCTTCCCCCTTTTCTCTCCCTTCCCCCCATTGCCCCATCTTTTAAGAATAATTTAATAATAAGATATTTAAAACACACACATAAGTAGAGAGCAATAAACTCTCATGCAGTGATTATCCACATACAGCTATCAACTCATAGCTATTCTCCCTTCCCCCCAAGGTTGTAATCTTTTTTTTTTTTTTTAATTGTGATTTGGATGAAAGTTTACAGAGCAAATTTACATTCCATACAGCAGCTCACATATTCTTTGTCTCATGACATTGACTGCAATTTCCCACAATGCAACAGCTCCCCTCCCACTTCCTCCCCATATTTACCTCTTCCCTGTGTCCATCCCTCCATGCACTCCAGCCCCCTGAACTGTCTCCCTGTGCATACACAGCCCTTCTATTCTCCCATGATTCATCTCTCCAAGGAGTGTTATCTACCTAATGTAAATGTTCAGCTCATATGTCTGCCTTTGTTTGGTTGGAAGCCACAGGAGTGGGTTTAATTCCAGACCTGAAGGGCAGCTAGGGGCCATAGTCTCAGTGGTTCCATCATGTGCTATCAGACCAGCAAACCTGGTCTTTTTTTTTTAAAAAATGATTTTCAATTTTGTTCTACATTGTTTTTCCTCTCTATCCAGGATCTCCTACACTGATCCCCCTCCAACTGGCTGACAGTGGTAGCCAGGTACCATCTATTTCTTCTGTCTCATAGTCACACAGGCTGAGGGTTGCACGGTATACCAGTTGCTTGGACTGTTTCCATGCATCTTTGGTTTTCTTTATTCTTCTTTGCTCTGGACAAGGAGAGACTCATTGTTGCATCTAGATGGTTGCTTGCAAGCTTTTAAGATTCCAGTTGCTACTCACCAAAGTAGGATGTGGAACAATGTTTTTGTGTAGTATATTATGCCAATTGAGCCGGATGTCCTTTGAGACTACGTCCTGATCATAGCTACACTTACTTCATTGACAATCTCACCCATTCTACTCCTACCTCAAGATTATTTTAAAGCATATTGCAGATGATCATCTCATCTACAAAAATTTCAGTATATCTTTAAAGTATCTGTATCTGAAGTATGAAATTAGCTTTCCCCTTAATAAAACCACAATATCATTTTCATATCTAAAAATCATTAATAATTTAAACTCTTCAGCTATCCTTTCATTTTTCATTATTTCCTCAATTATCTCATACAACTGATTTTTCTCTTTTTTGCAGCTAGTTTGACTTGTATACAAACTATGTCTACAAATTGCATTTGACTGTTATGTCTTTTAAGTTTTTTTAAATTTCTTTCCCTCAACTTTTTTTATTTGTTGACTGAAGTGGATCAAGGAGTTGCTAGGGTGGTGCAAACTGTTAAGTGCTCGACTACCAGCCAAAAGGCTGGTGGTTCGAATCCACCAAGAGGCACCTCAGAGATAGGCTTGGCAATTTGCTTCCATTGGTCACAGCCTTGAAAATCCTATGAAGTTGTTCTGCTTTGCACACATGATGTTATCATGAGCTGGAACCAACTCAACAGCAGTTCAGAACAAACTGGGTCATTTGTTCTGCAGAGCTCTCTATAAATGCCAGGGTTTGAAGACAGCAAGTCCAAGGCATCACTGGGATTTCCTATACACTGATAGATTTGTACAGTTGGTCTGATTTAGGTTTGATTTATTCCCCCCAAGAATATTCCATAGATGGTATTATATACTTTCCTTATGAGGGATATAATAGCCAGTTTGTCCTAGAACTTGAGTTAATTAACCTAAGAAAATATTTTGCATTGCAAAATTTTCAAAAAGCTCATTCACTGATTTAATTTCCTTCTATTAACTATACTTATCAAGAAAGCCAAAAAATAAAAACCATAGATTGCCGAAAGGTAATTATTAAGTTAAAGACATGTAAAACCCACTGCCATAGAGTTGATACCAACTCATAGTGACTCCACAGAACAGAGTAGAACTGCCCATAGGATTACCAAGGCTGCAAATCTACAGAAGTAGACTGCTACATGTTTCTCCCGTGTAGTGTCTGGTCAGTTTGAACTGCAGACTTTGGGGCAGCAGCCAAGTGTTTAATCACTATGCCACCAGGGCTTCTGAATGTAAACATCATTTGTAAACATAAAGGTAAACATAAATATTTTCCTGATTTTGATAAATCAGACCTTATCAACAGTCAGCAACACACAGGATCTATTCATATTTAATCTGATCATACATTTATATCATTTTTTGGAAATTATGTTAAAAAAATGTGTTACTCCATTAAGTAGAAGATGTACATTTAAAAATTATTTTATTGCTTTATATTAGGCTGCCAAAAGGCCTATGTTGAAAAAAAATTAATTAGAATAAATATTTACATTTATATCTTACCATGCTACAGAGTCCCTCATGAACTGTACAATCTAGTGTACCAAACTTAAGCTGACCATAAAGATGCTTTGAAGCTTTTCGTAACTCTGGCAATAAAGCTCGACATGGTGGACACCACTAGAAAGAAAGAAATACATATATAAACACTGAGCCAAATGAAATAAAAATATCATTTCTGCAACAAGCAATAGCTAAGATGAACTAAGTTGCAAATTTGGAGGGGCAAGTACATCAGTGCTCATTTAGAATCAATACGTGATAATGCTGCTGGTGGGACTATAAAATGGTACAACCATTGTGGAAAGCAGTATGGTGATTCCTTCAAAAGCTGGAACTAGAAATACCATTTGACCCAGCTATTCCATTACTAGGTTTATATCCTAAAGAAGTAAGAGCCATGACAAGAACAGACATATGCACACCCATGTTCATCACAGCACTATTTAAAATAGCCAAAAGATGGAAACAACATAGGTGTCCATCAACTGAGCAATGGATATCCAAACTATGGTACATACACACAATGGAATACTATGCAACACTAAAGAAAATGTAGAATCTGCAAAACACCACATAACATCGATGAACTTGGAGGACATTATGCTGAGTGAAATAAGTCAATCACAAAAGGACAAATATTGTATTAGTCCGTTATTGTAAAAGTCAAGGAAACATTTATCTGTGGAAGGACATTTTCTTTGTTGGTTACCAGGGTTGGGAGGGTAGGGTAGGGAAAATACTGTTAGATAGATAGAGATAAGTTTTGATTTGGGTGAAGAGAAGGACAATGTACCAAATGTGAGTGATCAATATAGTGGCACTGAGGAAGAGAAAAACATAGGTACGTGGGAAGTACAGACAACAAAGATGAACCCTTTTGCACATACAGTATGGCACTGTCAGTGAAGGCAAACACGGGTATATGGATGGATAGAAGGGGGGGGCAGCCTGAACTATAGGTATGTCTGTGAAATGGGGAGTATACCCAAGAACATGTATAGGGTTGGCAGACAATGGTCCTATAACTTTGTGTGTATGATCTGAATTCCCAGGTGTATAGTAGAGCTGACAAGGGGCAAGGTGGTAGTCACTGCTTGGTCACAGCCAGCTACCCAGAGGGACCGAGTAGTTGAACCTGTGGGCTTGGGACCATAGTCGCAGGGGACATCAAGCTCAATTGGCATAACATACTACACAAAACACTGTTCCACCTCCTACTGTGGCAAGTAGAGAATGGGATCTTAAAAGCTTGCAAGCTGCCATCTAGATGCAACGATGGGTCTCTCCTTGTCCAGAGCCAAGAAGAATGAAGAAAACCAAAAATTCATGGAAACAATTAGTCCTAGAGACTGGTACACCATCCAATCTGCAGCCTACATGACCATGAGACCAGAAGAACTAGATGGTGCCTGGCTACTACTGTCAACCACTTGGAAGAGGATTTATGTGGGAGATCCTGGATAGACAGGGAGAACAATGTGGAACAAAACTCAAAATCATTTGGGAGGAAAAAAAAGGGGTGGATCAGGTTTGCTGGTCCAATAGAGCCTGGTGGAAGCACTGAGACTATGGCCCCTAGCAGCCCTTCAGGTCTGGAATTGAACGCACGCCTGTGGCTTCCAGCCAAACAATAGACAGGCATATGAGTTGAACATTCACCTGAGGTAGATACACTCCTTGAAGAGAACAAGCATGGGAGAAAGAAGGCCTTCTTATGCACAGGGAGACAGCTCAGGGGGCAGGAGTGCATGGAGGGATGGACACAGGGAAGAGGTAACTATCGGGAGGAAGTAGGAGGGGAGATGTTGCACTGTGGTAAATTGTGGTCAATGTCATGAGACAAAGTGTATGTGAACTGCTGTATGTAAAGTGTATTTGCTCTGTAAATTTTCACCCAAATCAAAATAAAAAGAAAAGAAAAATATGTCATACTGGCCAACAATGAATGATACAGTTCTAGTAGTAATGGTTCAAGGTTATCTAGGAAATGTCTTTTTTGCTATTACAAGAGACAATCCAACAATACTGAAATTTAACAGACACAGAAACAACTTACAGGGGCAAAAAAATCAACAAGCCATGGTTCTCTGTCATTGGCAGGAAAATTCTGAGGTCCAAGTGTGGTAACATGAGAATTAACACTTTCTTTGGCAAATGCAAGTACATCATACAGAATCATCTTTCCTTTGAGATGAAATAAGAGAAAAATTAAAATCCACATTCTGCCTTTTGTATTTGGAGAAACATTTCACAGGCTTTATACTCAAAACATTAAAGGCTTAGTGTTTGATATGTTACATACGGGTTTGTTATCAGGAGTGCTCTCACCTAGCACATATTATTTATTAGAAGATCAATTAAAATGTCAAGACCTCTTTAAAATATTCCTCTATTCTCAGAGGCCGAATAATCACTTCTTTTAAGTGTTCTTATAGTTCTTTATCCTTACCTCAGCTATTAATGTGGCTTAGCTACCACATCTGTATCTTCACTCTACACTTTGCTAAGGAATCAAAATCACTATTACCAACTTCCCAGTGGAAAACTTAACCTGATGTTACATAAGCATTTCAAATACAATATATCCAAGTTGAACCAAAGTTATTTCCCCCTAAAACTGTTCATTTTCTCACCCTCTCTATTTTATCAATGGCCTGTCTACTGAGTGCCCACAGAACATCCCCCATAATTATCCTTGACTTACTTCTCTGTCCTCGTATAATAAATTCCATCCACTCTATCTCTTACCATCTCCAAAGTTGTTGCTGCTGCCTGAATTCATTCTGGCCTGTTACAATAACCAGGCAGTCTCTCTGCCCCTACTACTCCTCAATAAATCCATTTTCTACATTGCCACCAGAGTCAACTTACAAAGTATTGTCCTCTTGCTTAAAGGCCTCTGATGAATTTACCATATCTAAAGAATATACTCCTTGGCTTGGCAAAAAGTTTTCGCATATGCCCTTTGATTTATCTACTCAATATTCAAAATTAAGTCAAGAACTTGGTATGTGGTAGAGTGTGTTTTAAATGGTGTAGAGCAAGCAAAAATAAAAAAAGTTATAGTCCCTCTTTTTAAGGAGCTCAAAGCCTAGTAGAAAGAGAAATATTTAAAAATATTTCTACAAATATTTAAAATACATAATGTTAAGTGACACCAACTGTTTTCTCCTTACTGTTTCTTAAACTGCTTGACAAATTCCTCTCTCTAACCAGCCCACAAGGGGCTCCGATCTTGATCCTCTACTCTCTCCCCTCTTAGCCATTCTTAGACAGTCTCATCCTTTCCCAATGCTTTAATTACCATCAATATGCCGAGTGTTTAAATCTACAGTTTCAATCCAAGTTCTTCTCTCGAGGCCAGGCCTGTAGTAAGAGTGAACTAGGTGTCTCCACACCCAGTCAGCTCCTCCCCCAGTGTTTTCTTCCTCATTGAGTGATACATTCACTTAATTGTCAGTTCACCAGATCAGAAATATGGGTTCATCCTTGGCTTCCCTGTTTCATTCCCCCACAGCTACATTATTACTAGGTGATAATTTTATGTCTTGGTATTTTAAGTTTGTCTACTTCAAAGATATCTCCTTTAAGACTGTTGTTGTTATGTGCCAGTCTAGTCAGTCCCGACTCATAGCGACCCCTCCTTGGGTTTCCGAGGCAGTATCACTACGGAAGTAGGATTGCCCAACCTTCCTTCCGAGGAGTGGCTGGTGGGTTTGAACCGCCAGCCTTCTGGTTAGCAGTCAAGTGCTTTAGCCACTATGCTACCAGAGCCTTTAAGACTAAGATGCGCCTAACCCAAGTCATGGTATTTTCAATCTCCTCAGATGCATGTAACAGCTGGACAGTGAATAAGGAAGACTGAACAAGAGTTAATGCTTTTGAGCTGTGGTGTTGGTGAAGAATGCTGAAAGTACTGTGGACAGCTAAAAGAACTAACAAATCTGTCCTGGAAGAAGTGCAGCTGGAATGCTTCTTGGAAGCAAGAATGGCCAGACTTTACCTCACCTACTTTGGTCATGTTGTGGGAAGTAACCATTCTCTGGAGAAGGATGTCATGCTTGCCCATTTACTTGTCTGTTTTCACTACTAGTCCATAATGTTGAGGTAGCGATTATGTCAAGTTCACTATTCTTTCTACTCTCTAGTACTATACCTGGCACAGGAAGATACTCGATACCTATTTAAACCCAATGAAACCATCAAGTTACTGTTTATGAGCACATAAAAGGAGGTTGTTGGCATTTCCTGGTAATTTGCCAGGGGAGAAAATGCTTTAAGTTTTGAAGCATAATTAAGAGTTTGCTAGGTATTCTGAGAGGAAGGAAGGATGACTGCAACATAGAGAAAAATCATGTGTGAAGGCACAGAGGAATGAAAGAACATGGCATTTTCAAGGATCCACAAGTACCTGGAACTAAGATTATTTGGAGGTGCAAAGGCAGCAGATGGGACTAGAAACACTGGCAGAAGCAGATTATAAATGTATGCTATTAGTTGTACAACTATTTATTGGGTTTCTAACATGCTAGCTGTCATTCTAGGTACTCGAGTTAGAGGACTGAGCAAAAACAGACAAAATCATTGCTCCTATGCTGAGAAATTCTAAGTGTGTTCTAAAAGCAATCAGAAGTCTAGGTAGAAAAGCGACATGAGGATGGTGTTCTAGGGCACTAACTCTGCAAATAAACTATCATCAACTGTCAAGAGGAAAGACTAGAGGACAGACAATCCTACAGGAGGATTGTAATTGTTTAAGGAGATGATGGTTCTGAACTATTGTTGGCAGAGAACACAAGGGGGGGATCTCAGAGATATTTCAAAGGCAAAAAAGAATCCACTTATGAGGTCATTTCAAGCACTATGAGGTGGTATGGTCTTGTGGCTACACACCCAGGCTTTGGATTCAAAATGTGGACCAGTTACCAGTTGCCTGACATGGAGCAAATTATTGAACATTTCTGAGACTCATTTTTATCACTCACTGGCTTATTACAAAGATAAAAATGGATCATGTAAGGAAAGCATTTGGAAAAGTATCTGGCTTAAATAAAAGCACTGAAAAAAGTTACTGTTGGGCTTATCCTTCTGCTGAGAAAGCCTCACTTTATTTATTGCACATATTTGCTTTGGGAATTTGAGCATTCTGCACGTAATTCAAATGTTACCTCTTGATCTATACTATGCAAAAATCTCTTTATTTGATCTTATTCTAATTGAGATACAATGGACAGTACAATTTTCTTATAAATCTTCCTCACACACTAGAGTATATTCTTGACTTCTTTAGAAGAGACCATATCTTACAACACTCTATCCCTAACATCTAAAGCAGTGCTTTTCATATATAACAAGCATTTCATAAAGATGTTATTCAGTTACCTGTACTGTAGTGAGCAATGAGTGGGTCTGTTTTGCTACATCTGACTTTCCTTAGGGCAGGGACTATCAAGTTTCACAAACACTAGGAATTGGGACTGTACTTAAATGAGTGCAGCACTAAGGTCTAAAACAAGTTGAAATACAGAAATGTAGAGAGAAAACAAAGCAGTTTATGGAAAAGTTTGGAGAAACAATACATCTGAAAGTTTTCCATAATGGATGAGATGTGACATCTCATGGAATGGAAACTGCAGGTGTTGCTTACTTTGACTGCAAGCAGGACCCCAGCTGACTCATTAGGCTGAGTGTCCCCAAAGGTTTTGCTCTAACACTGATCAAAATATTGAGAAACACAGTATTTTAAAAAGTGGAAAGAATACAAAATAACTATGTAATTCAAAACTCCTTCTCCACAGAACCACAAGAAACATATTTACTAACAAATGAGAGCAAAGGTATTTACAAAGTGTGTACTCACACAAAACACAAAAAAGCAGAATTAGAAAATTACTCTATGAAAATAAAGATAACAAGAATTTATCATTTTTTCCTTTCTTACCATGATGGATTTCATAGTCTTTGGTTCCTTGACCTTTAAATACTGCTAGACATGGCTGGAAAATATAGAGATTACTACAGATGTCTGGTGCAGAGGAGCAGTCCAACCTACCAATCTAAAGTAGAAAGAGAAGGTTAAGGTTCAATGTGAGAGAAACATAAAATCTTATCCATTCAATTTTTAAATATTCATAGAGATAACTCAAAACTGACATTGTTCAACACAGTTCTCAACATGTTAATGGGCCAACAAAACAAAAAAATCCATTTACATTTAATACCAAAACTCAATTTACTGCTAATAAAAGCCTCCTAGAGAGTTTAAAACCTGAGAGATTTCCCAAAAATATGAAGTTGTTTCAGAAATCTACCCTTCAAAATACAGGAATATCTACATAATCTTAGGGTGAGGAAGGATTACTTAATTAAGTACAAAACCAGGACCAGAAATAATGAAGAAAAACCCCACTAAGTTTAGCTACAGTGTGGAAAAAAATAGCATACATAAATTTAAAAGGCAAATGATAAACTGAGAGAAGTATTTGCAACATTTAAAATAAAAGATCTGTTAATAAAAAAAGGTATGGACAAATATCAAGAAAAAATGAGTCAGGGGCATAAAGATAAAATGAACTAGAAATGAAGTATAATTGGTTAATCACAAAATATCACTAGAAAGCAAATAAATGGAACTAAATATTGTTTCTATATCAGCTTTAAGAAAATATAAAACCTTTGAGTAAAAAATTGCTCATACTAAGAAATAACTGGACAATTGCTCCATTACTTCCTTTAAAGAATAATGTAAGCAACTTAAAAAGTCAAACAATTAAACAATGTGGCATAACCATATAGTACAATAGTACTTAGCCTTAGGAGTGGTAATACACACACATACACACTCTCTCATATTGCCATATGAAGTATACGATACTGTTGAATGAAAAAATTTTACAACTCAATATATATGAATCCATTTCAATTAAAAAATATACATAAAAAAAGTAGGGACACAGACAAATTTAACACATGGCAACTACTCAGAACCACCAGTACATTTCTCTGTGGCTTCAGCTTGAAGCAGAGTAAAATGATGAGCAAACTCAAGTAGTATTTAAAGCCCTCAGGTTATTTCCCTAGAATTAACTACAAAGCTGGTGCTGAAGGTTTTCAATCAGCTTCTAAAATTTTCCTCTCAGAGGCAAGGTGTGTGCTGATTACAATATGCATGCATGTGTACACATATGCAAGAGCAGACGTACTTACACATATATACACTCTCAAAAGGGTTGAAAGGTTAGTTATATAGCAAACCCTTAACAGGGTTATTGTCAGTGGCAATATGGGTGATTTTCATGTATTTATTCAAACTCATTGTTCTTCTTATTTATATAACCTAATTTTTAAACACAACAGACAAGAAGTACACATGTAGAAACAATGAGAATTACAAAAAGGAAAATACTCTTTTATAATATATATTCTGGAAAAATCGCATGCTACAAATTTACCACATGGCAACTACTCAGGGAAATTAAAGTTAACCACTTTCAGGTATCAGATCAGTTTTTAACAGAAAAAAATAGAAAAAGAAAACACAACACAAGCACAAACACACTTAGAGGCTTCTTAACCCATAACTTCAAATAAAACTCTAGTGGAGTTACTTTTTAGGTTATTAAAAATTTAATTATATATAACAAATTCACAAGAAAGCACACAATGGACCATGCAAACTTCAGCCTGTAAGACCATGAGACCAGAAGAACTAGATGGTCCCTGGCTACCACTGTCAATCACTCAGAAAGGGATCAGTGCAGGAGATCCTGGACAAAGTGGGAGAACAATGTGGGAACAAAACTCAAAATCATAAAGACCAGGTTTCCTAGTCTGATAGAGCCTGGTGAGACTCCTGAGACTATGGGCCCTACGTACCCTTCAGGTCTGGAATTGAAACCACTCCCACAGCTTCCAGCCAAACGACAGGCATATAGGGTGAACATTTACATTACCTAGATCTGCTCCTTAGAACCATCAATCAAGGGAGAATAGAAGGGCAGTATTTGCACACGGAGCTAGCTCCGGGGGCAGGAATGTGTAGAAAAGGACACAGGGAAGAGGTAACTACAGGGAGAGAATAGGAAGAGGGAATTGTATTGTGAAGAACTGCAGTCAATATCATGAAACAAAATGTGTACCAACTGCTGTATTTTCTCTGTAAACTTTCACCGAAACCAAAACAAAAATTAAAAAAAAAAAAAGGAAAGCACACAAACCAAGGCTAGGCAGAATACATTTTCCTTACTTGAATATGTTCATTTTTAAGTAGAGTTTTCAGTTTCTTCAACTCAGGATCATTTGAATTTTGATTCTGCCCAAAATCAAAAAATAAGAGCCATCTATGATGAGCCAAACGATCCTTAAAAGGAATGAAGAGAAACAAATGTCAGAGATGGGAATTTCTAAAGATTCTGATCTTCATTTATTTGACTTAGTTAATTTTAACCATCCTACCTATTACTTCAAAATACTGTCAAAAAGTCAGATTCATTCATACTCTTACTTTCTAGTTTACTTGGAAAAATGCGATGTATGTCAACTGTATAATATTGTACGAGGTCAAGAGCTACTAAATTCTAAAATCCTGAAGGGATGGTTTGTATCAAGGAAAAATAAGGTTTAAAAATATATACCACACAGTAGAGTGTTGCAAGGGATGGGGATTTGAGTTATTTTAGGTTTTAATAAAAGGTTTGGTAGGGACGCAGACCTAAAAATCTCTGGGTTCAGTAAGGAGAAAAAAATAAATGATTTCACCACAAATTGATTATTTCTAAAGCAGCTTCTTAATCTTTGTTATGTTGTTATGTGCCGTCGAGTCGGACCCAACTCATAGTGACCCCTCCCCTTGGGTTTCCAAAGCAGTATCACTACGGAAATAGATTGCCCCATCTTCCTTCCGAGGAGTGGCCGGTGGGTTTGAACCGCCAGCCTTCTGGTTAGCAGTCAAGTGCCTTAGCCACTATGCTACCAGAGCTTTATCTTTAGGGAACATAAACAGTTGTATGAACAAGAGCATAATGCTTCAAATGCAAATCCAAAGTTGCTTTCTGAGCAAAATCTTGCCTTTCTGACTAGGCCTTCCTGGTAAAGGACTGAGGCTTAATTAGCAACACTTTCAACCTTAATTAGCAATTAGAGTTCAACCGAGAACTTACTTATACGTAATTCTTTGAAATGGCACTTTTCAGTTCTTTCTTGCAATGAATAAAACTGCTGATTTGAAAATATTAAGGCCTATAGTATTTATTATAAAAGGATTTTGACCAACAAGTCTGACTTGATCTTTAGTTCTTGTAAAGCATATTCTTTTACTTGAATTTCTGTGTATATCAGTTATTTTATGCCTCTTGAATTAATTTTATAACAATATTTAATGTATTGATAGTTTAGATATAAAATCATTTGAACTAAAAAGTAGTTATTAAAGTACGTAAAATAGACAAAGTAAATGATAGGTTATCCATTATTTCAGAAGTCATGACAGAACCACCAGTACATTTGTCTGTGGCTTCTGCTTGAAGCAAAGTAAAATGATGAGTAAACTCAAGTAGTATTTAAAGCCCTCAGGTTATTTCCCTAGAATTAACTGCAAAGCTGGTGCTGAAGGTTTTCAATTAGCTTCTAAAATTGTCTTCTCAGAGACAAGATGTATGTTTTGATTACACCGAAAACACCTCACTTTTATTTACTCTTTATGCATTTAATCTTTATGACATTATAAACTGATAGAATGAAGTTGTGCTCATATGGTGTATCACTTCCTGTGCTCAGAACTACTTGTAAGTAGTTTTTATTGACGTTATCAGCAACAAGGGACCCATAATGCTGTATTATACACTGTGGAACTGAATAAACAGCTTAAATTTTTTTTTTTTTTCTAGTATAGGATACTTAAAGATTTCCACTATTGGGAAAAAACTGTATGGGTTATTTTATATGGGATCTTGTATAAAAGGATAGCCTTTTTTTTTTTTTTGGTAAAACCTTTTCACTGAATTGCTTCTAAACTACATAATACAATTTGGAGCCTGTTTCTTTAGTTGTAGATTTAAATGTCTCATATAGTGCTTATGCAGTGTTTTTGAATTAGAAAGTGATCTAATGTAAAAACTAAAATTACAAAAAGCCCAGGCAACAAAATAGTGCATTAAGTCAGTTTTATGTAAAAGAAATGTATAAGATTCTTTTTCTTCACTATAGATACCTCACTTGATAACAAAGCACAGAAACTTAAAGCAGTTCTAATAGAAAGATCCTACTAAAAGAACTGCTTAATCTAGGACATCTTTTGGAGATTCATAGCTTGTGAGAAATAAAAACATGCTTTTGGAACTATTTGTTTATTCTGATAATTTTAAACCAATACAGTAGTCTTTTATGTTATTTCTGAACTTCTAAGCTGTTAGGGCAGTGAATAAAATATCTGTGCTGCAACTGTTGCAACTATTGTTGACTACACTGACCATAACTCAATTTAAAATTTTGCCAATGACATATATACAGTTTTATGGTTAAAATTTCTGTGGCTGGTTGTACTATACAACAGACAAAATTGTCTTCCACCTCACATGAATTAAGTATTTTTATATGGCTTTACAAACCAGAAAAAAAAAAAAATTAAGACCTGAAAATGTTATCAACATTTATTACCATTAAATGTTATTAATCAAAATATTACCTCCAGTGTGCTTGCTGAAAGGAGTTCAAAATCTGGAAGATTATTCATTATTTCCAAATATATTTCTTTAGCATCCAATGAATTAAGAAACTAGAATAAGAGAATCATATTATAATGTTTTTGAAGAATATCCATTTATTGTATTTAATTTTTTTCTATTTCCATAATAGAACTTTTAAGAAAACAATCATAGAAGTTAAAGTTTTTCAAGTCATTTATCCCAAATGCTGGCTTTCTCCCCCCAAAAAAGCATGATATCTTTTCAGCAATTATTACAAATATTGTATAAATGAGCTATTTCTTAAAAAAAAAATGAGAGATGCATTATAAAATACATTCCACTGTTAGGGGTTTCTTTAACTGCAATTTTCTATTAATTGTGCAGTGCATTCATTGAAAATCTTTATAACAGCCTTGAGAAAAGCATAAAATCCTAGTTAACTTCTGAATCGTAGGAAAAAATTAGATTATGTTCAGTTTAATTCTAATGTTAACCATGTTCACAGAATGACAATGCTTTACAAATTCTTTTAAGAATTTCTATAACACTAGATTATTTAAGACATCTCACAGGAAGTCCCTCGGTGGTGCCAACAACTCACTTGGCTACTAACTCAAACACTGGAGGCTCGAGTCTACCCAGATGCCTCAGGAGAAAGGCCTGGTGATCTAGTTCCAAAAAACCAGCCACTGAAAACCCTACGGAGCACAGTTCTATTGTGACACACATGGAATCTCCATGAACTGGAGTCGACTTGGTGGCAGACGGTTTTAAGAAATTATTTTACCTCAACCAGTAATTAATAGTTTGATAACAACTCAGAACTTGAAAACTTGAATGGATCTTAGTGTTCATTATCGATATTTTCAAAAACATTAATCTCTAAAATTACAACCACCTATGAGTTTTGTAAAATACACTGATCTTAAATATATTTTAGACTTATTTAAAACACAACTAAAAGACATACATCTCCTTGCTAACATATTTCCTTTATTTCTGCCCTTATTTTTTCCTCAGCTTATTATTTTCACTCAACTATACTGCTGGCCTAGTTCTTAATAACTTTTGCTACAGAGTGCAGTAATGGTTACATCAAGGAAACATATATTGGGGTTGACAAAACAAACTTTAGTAATTGTGATTTTACAATCTCCCCTTCTGTTTTAGCTTCCTATCCTCATAAGAGCTCCTACCCTCATAAGCAAGAAGGAGCTCTGGTGGTGCAGTGATTAAGACATTTGGCTATTAACCAAAAGGGCAGTGGTTCGAATCCACCAGCCATTCTGCAGAAGAAAGATGAGCCGTCTCAGAGGTGAAAGGGAGAGCTCACTACCATCAAGAAAGAAGAGCCAGGAGTAGAGTGCATCCTTTGGCCCCAAGATCCCTGGGTTGAACCTCCTTGATCCAGGAGACAGAAAGCTGTGACACAGAGAGTGTGAGAGGCAGCAATACAGGCAGCAGAGCCAAGAGACAGGTATGAAACAGAGCAGTGAGTGTTCTGGCCCACAGTGAGAAAGCTCAATGCCTTTGGGCAGGAGGCTTGCTGGCAGAGTGAGGTGCCTCTTTGGGTATCTATTTGCAGAGCTAAAAGAGCTTTTTAACACTAGCCCAAGGCAGAGGCCAAGGGGCTGCAGGGCTGAGAGGCCCAGGCTAGGGAGAAGGTACCTGTGGCATGGCTGAGAAAAGGCTGTTCTGATGGAAGAACAGTATCCTGAGTCGTTTCTGATCCTGAATTGTAACCTGCTACTTCCCTAATTGTTTGTGAGTTCTGTGTGGCCATTACAATAAATTATCGAACCCAGACAAGAAGTAGAGTGCTGTGGGAGGGATGCTTGGTGTCACAATAGGTGAAAAGACTGGAAGGTAGAGGCATGTCTGAAATCTGTCTCATAGGAATTAGCCTTGGGCTGTTGATCCTTTTTTCCCCCTCTGTGAAATCAGAGATCAGACATTGTCCCTACACCCTTTTTGCAGGCACATACATGGCTATCTTCCAGTCAGCTGGCCAGGCAGCTATCTTAAAAATTTGTTGGCATGAATGAAGACTTCCAGTACTGCATCCGTTTGTTGAAACATCTCAATTAGTATTCTGTCAGTTCCTGGAGGCTTGTTTTTCACTAATGCTTTCAGCGCAGTTTGGACTACTTCCTTCATTATCATTGGTTCTTGATCATATGCTGTACTTCCTAAAATGGCTGACTGATGACCGATTTTTGTACAGTGACTCTTGTGTATTGTCCCCATCTTCTTTGATGCTCCCTGTGTCACTCAATATTTCGCACACAGAACCCTCCAACAGTGCGACTGGAGGCCTGCAGTCTCTCTTCAGCTCTTTTAGTTTGAGCAGTGCTGAGTGTGCTCTTCCCTTTGGTTTTTAACTCCAGAGTTTCGTACATTTCATTATAATACTGTCTTCTTGAGCAGCCCTTTGAAATCTTCTGTTCTGCTCTTTTACTTCATCATTTCTTCCTTTTGCTTTAGCTACTCCATGCTCAAGAGCAACTTGGAGAGTCTCTTCTAACATCTATTTTGGTCTTTTCCTTCTTTCCTGTTTTTTAATGACCTTTTGCTTTCTTCGTGTAAGATGTCTATGATGTCATCTCACAAATCTTTGGTCATTAGTGTTCAACACATCAAACCTAGTCTTCAGATAGTCTCTAAATTCAGGTGGAATATACTCAAGGTCATACTTTGACTCAGGTGGATTTGTTTTAATTTTCAGCTTCAACTTGAACTTGCATATGAGCAATTGATGGTCTGTTCTGAAGTTAGCCCCAGCCCTGTACTGATACTGAGCACCTCCTTTGTCTCTTTCCACAGATGTAGTCAATTTGATTCCTGTGTATTGCATCTAGTGAGGTCCACGTGTATAGCTGTCGTTTGTATGTTGTTGAAAAAGTTATTTGCAATTAGTAAGTTGTTGGTCTTAAAAATTCTATCACATGATCTCCAATGTCATTTCCACCATCAAAGCCTTATTTTTCAACTACCAATCCTTCTTTGTTTCCAACTTATGCACTCCAACCACCAGTAATTACAAATGCATCTAGATTGCATGTTTCACCAATTTCAGACTGCAGCAGTTGGTAAAAATCTTCCAACTTCTTCATCTTTGGCATTAGTGATTGGTGTGTAAATTTGAATACTCATATTAACTTGTCTTTCTTGCATGTGTGTGGCTATTGTCCCATGACTGACAGCACAGTTACTTCAAGACAGATCTGAAATGTTCTTTTCGACGATGAATGTAAAAGGGTAAGGAATATGGCCACTCTGTCAGTCTATCATCACAGCAACGTGCAAGCCACAGTAGTATGACAAACTGACAGATGAGTGAGTGGTGGGGGGAAAACCCTAGTGGAGATTTATAGGGACGTTCAACTTCTGTTACAGACATTATCAGTAGGATACATATATTTGGAATGGAGGACAGAGGTCTGAACCACAAATACAAACTAGATGTTGGCACAAAGCCATAATTGCAGATATATTTAAGTAAAGATATGAAGTATATTTACTAAGATTTGATGGTGATTATCTTTGGATGTCTTGCTTTTAGGGAATTTTGCTTCTTTCTTCACACATTTCAAAACTATATTTGAATTTCTATAATTAGTATTTGCTAGCTATCTTATCATCAGAGACAAAATTAAAACAGAAAACTAAAGGCAGTTTGTCTTTTATCAGAGGTTCTTTACTTTGTTTTGGAATTCCCTATGGATCCATTCCATATCCCATTATTTATTTCAGTTCCTTGACAACTAGGTACAACTTCAATTTACTCATTCATAAAACCAGGGAGGTGAGCCACATCGAGAGAGCTCCAAATTTGAATTTACATCAGAATTCCACCCAAACCACTGCCATCAAGTTGATTCTGACTCATAGTGACCACACAGGATAGAGTGGAACTGGCCTAAAGGGTTTCCAAAGCTGTAAATCTTTACAGCAGTCTGCTATATCTTTCTCCTGTGAAATGGCTACTGGGTTCAAACCATCAACCTTTTAGTCAGCAGCCGAAGCTGTAACACTGTGCCTCTAGGGCTTGCTCAGAATCCCACAGGGAGCTTTAAAAAAGCTATGACTAAAAAAAATATTTTTAGGCCATGTTGTAAATATAGATATTTGGGGCTCAGCCAAATCTACAAATCATCCACCTGTAATTTAACATTAGAAAATATACAAATAAATGGAAACCAACGAAAATGCATAGTATAAATGTTCTTTCATTTAACTAAGAGTGTACTCCATACTTTAGAGTTTAAAAGTATAATAGTTTACTAGTTTGAAAATAATCCTTATAACAGACACTACAAACTAAGTATGTGTTAAACAGAATGCTAGAAATATTTGTTCTAAATAATTAAACGTTTCACAATCAGGTAATATAAACTGATTCATTTCTTCCTGATAAAACAGTACGTTACATTTGACTGTGTGTGCATATTTACATGCAATTGTTTTAAAGCAAATCATACCAAAGTGGCTCCAGAAGGAAAATAGACTGCGGTGCTTGTTTTAATATCCAAACTTTTACAAAGGTTGTCGTGGGTGGCACAGTCCATCCATCCTACATTAACAAGGCCATCCTGAAATGGAAAGAAAAATAGTATTTTTAGGCTGTGTTGTAAATGGAAGAAAAAAGTTAAAAGAATTTGGCTTTACTTAGCTAAAAATATAACTTTTCCATTATAAATTTAAAACTTTTTTAAAAAGAGCACTCAATACCTTGAGATAACGAATTTTAGTTTTCTCAGATTAAGAATCTACTTTCAGACAACTGCTTTTATGATCGTGCATAGAAAGTGGGCTCTTCAATAATATCTTTAGATGTTAAGAAAAATCAAACTACTATACAAAACTTTGCATTATAACTTTGGATAATTATCATATAGTTTATCAAACAGTCTATGGTGTGTCTATATGTGCATTTAAATTAATGTCTGTCCAGTTTTCACCCACTGTGGCTAAGCTCCTTTAATCAGCAATAAAATCCTCTATGTGAAGTACACTTCTCAAAACTTCAAGTTCGGGAAAAATTTCTGGACCAGGAAACTTGGTAAATAAATGGAGATCTAACAAACATTTATTTGGGATTCCAGGACAAGAGAGAGCATAGGACAGAAACAATAGTTGAAAAAGTAACAGCTGAGAATTTTCCACAATTGATGAACTATATTAATCTATAGATTCGAGATGTTCAATAACTCTCAAGCAGAGTAAGAAAAAAAAATATCAATATATAACTCTTAAGTCAAGAATGAAATCATAATTAAATTACAAAATACTTGGAAGTGAACAATAATAAAAGGACCACATGGGCAAAATTTATGGAAGATAGCTAATTAGATAGAAAGACATTTGTAGCTATGAAGATATTTATCAGAAAATAAGAAAGATTACAAGTGAGTTACATGTTCAAGAAACTACCAAAGAAAATAACTGAAATCTGTTTTTAAATGTATTTAACATGGTGACAAAGTTTACAAAATGACTGATGCTTACCAACATGCCACTAAGCCTGAGTCGTGTCTGAGAAGTCAAACAATCTGGGGGGAAAAAAACTTATGAGGCAATTTTAAGTTATTGAGATACTGCTTCATTCAACTTTTCCCCAAACTGCCATGCTGATTCTAAGGCAATTAACTGGGCTCTACTGGTATACATTGAAAATTTAATATACTAGCTAGATAGTGATCAATGGTCAAAGTCTCATTTTATAGTAACATACACATTCTTTCACTCTTTCTCCTAGTGCCCCAAAATTTCTAGCAACAGGGAAAAGGAGTAATTTTCTCTCAAGCATTCCTTTAGGATCTTACCTTCAATTTTCTCTTAACAATTCCCTTGATTTTGGGAAAATAAAACCTATTTTATTTTTTGGACCTATTTGATAAAGGGGAGCTCTGGTGGTATAGTGTCTAAGGCATGCAACTGTTAACCAGAAGGCTGGTGGTTCAAAGCCATCAGCCACTCCTCGGAAGGCAGGTTGGACAATCTACTTCTGTAGTGATACCGCCTTGGAAATCCAAGGAGGAGTTGCTGTGAGTTGGATCCGACTCAATGGCAGTGAGTTTTTATCTGATAAAGACATGTAACTCAAAAAAAAAAAAAATCCAAACTCACTGCCATTGAGTTGATTCCAATTCATAGTGACCCCCTTTGGGTTTCCGAGGTGGTAAATCTTTATGGAAGTAGTTTGTTCCATCTTTCTTCTGTGGAGTGGATAGTGGGTTTGAACCTCCAACCTGGTTAGCAGTGAAATGCCTTAGGCATTGTGTCACCAGAGTGCCTTAAAAACACGTAAAGGATCCTCAAAATAAAATAAAATCTTAACAAAGCTTATTCATTAATTATATGAAAGTTATGTAAATCTTTAACACTGGGTTAGGATGAGGTAGATTTAGAGAAAAGGGAGCTTGCAGCACCAGAGATAGACAAAAGCAATTTATCTACAGTGAAAAGAAAAAAGAATTTTTTAACGTTTTGTTTATGTGTGTAGATGAAGAGAACTCTGGGCCTCAGGGCAAAATGAGACAACCTCTTGGCGACAGGCTAAGTTAAGGCAGATTTTGCTGCAAGGCCAAACCCCCCTAACATAGACCTTATTGGATGGGGTGCGTGGTTGACTTTAGATGTAAGGTAGCATCTTCTCAACTTGGCACCATAAAGTTTGAGAAGTGAAGTCTGGGGAAAAGACTTATATTGGGATTGAACATGAAACTGTATTAACAAATTAAGATCTTTTGTTATATAGGCATCTATTTTTGACCAATTTCATTATTTAAATAGAATTTAGTTTGTGATTTGGTATGTCGCACACTGAATTTTCAACTGAATTCCCTGAGGGTGAGGTTCTTAGAAATGGGAAGGTGTCTTCTTTAAAGATGTAATTTAAGAGGCAAACAGATATTAATTTCTCATGTACAAAATTATGAGGCAAAACCTAATACTGAAATAAATTATATTTCTGGAGGGGTTACATCATCTGCCAACAACTAGTTATTTCTGCAAACTATCAAATACATCTGTGGCTACCTGAAGGAACAATTTATCATGAGTATAGTTAAGCTGATAAGCTTGTTTACTGATACATTAAAAAATTAGTAATTTTATAACCACTTATATGTAAAATAATGGAAAAAGTAAATACTCATTAAATAAAATATTGTAATCTTGGACATAAACTATAGTTTCAAGTAATGAGGAATGAATTACATTAACACTTAAAAACTATCACATAAAATTAAAATGTCATGGTCTCTTTATCATACCAAAATAACAAATAAAATTACCTTCTTCTTTGGAACAAAAAGTGATCAACCAGCCAATACCAGCAGCAAAAGCAGTTTGTATGGAGTTAACAAAATTTCCTTAAAAGAAAATTAAGAAAATTTCTCACCACATATTACTTGATAATGGAAACATTCTTCAAAAGGTTCTTCCCTCTAATCTCATTATCTTGCCATCTATTCTGAGTACCACCATTTAACTTTCTGAAAATCCTCTTGAGCACATCAAATTCCCTCTCACTAGCTCCCCATTTCTCTTATTATATAAAATCTAACTTCATTATTTCATTAAGAAAGAAATTCAAACTGGCAAGGAAGGCCATCTGTGATCTGGGATTTCTCCGATTCACAGGGAAGTCTGCCAGTTCCCTAAACACATAATCATCACTTAAGACTTACTATTAATTTTCAAGATGACTGGATATGTTCTATTTTAAAAGAAGTATTTTTTAACTTTCCTTTCCTCAAGTGGGTTGTTTTATACCCTGCATATTTAACTACCTAAGTTTACCTCAATCATAATAGTTACCACAATGGTTTTTAAATGTTTACAAATGTCCCCCTCACTAAAATATGAGATTGTTAAAGGCAGGAAGTATATATTTTAACAGTGCAGCCCTAGTATTTAACACAGTTTCTGAGATAAAACTGGTATTCAATGAATGCCATGAACATCCCTGTAGTTGTAAATACTGTGGAGGTCATTTCATGGATAGTTCAGAGTAATTACCTTATCTAACTAAAGTCACTTGATGGATTAAAAGCCTAAGATTAGAAGAAACAGCCTTTAAACTTTAAAACTAAATTGCATAGGAATTAATTTACTGCCTGATGTAATGTATTTATAAAAGCAATGAATTACTTATATTTTTAAACATTTAGTTGTACTTTGAAAGTTGACTTTTCTACCTAACCCCATCTCATACTCATTTTCCACATCTTAATTTAATTTCTATCTAAATAGAATTCATTTGTTAAATGCCCACTGTTTAGCAAAGGTCAGAGCCAATGACACAATTCCCTTTTAAGAAGCTTGGAAAAGTTACTTTAAAATACCACTATTATGACTAGAACGTAAATATTGTCACTCCAAAAAACCAAAAACCAAACTCACTGCCATTGAGTTGATTCTGATTCCTAGCAATCCCTACTGGGTTTCCAAGGCTGTAAATCTTTATGGAAGCAGACTACCTCATTTCTCTTCCATGGAGCGGCTGGTGGGTTGGAACCATCAACCCTTTGTTTAGTACCCAAAAACCTTAACCACTATACCACCAGAGCTCCTTAATATTGTCACTAGAAAACTTAAAATACCAATTTCAAAGTAACCTTAAAAATCAAGCAAATTAAGAAAAAAAATTACCTGTCCATAATTCTGTCACCGTGGTTCTAACATGCTGCATGGCAAAACGCACCAAGTCTTCCTTTGATCTATTACCATGATATTTCACTGCAGCCTATTTTTTTTTTAATACAAAGAGAAACATCTTTTACTTTTTTCTTTCTAGAGCTCATTAAAAATAATACCATACTTTTGCTTCTACATTATTTTGAGTAATACATTAAGATCTGTTTACCAATAGTATGGCATATATCCAAATGATACTCTGAGAATCTGATTGTACAGATTCAATGGAAGACATTTTAACAACACTATTTACAATAGTTTTCATTACTGAAAACTGAAAGGAAAAAAATAAAAGGGTATCACAGCTTTATATTCATTGAGATAATACCTATAAATCATAAACTATATACATTGGTAAATAAATGCATTTTAAGACCAAAACTGAAATTGGGAAATATTTAACTCTGAAGCACAGTGAAGTCAAAGTAACAGCATCTTAAAGCATCCGTAATATAATCCAAAATGTTTACTATAATTACAGAGCCTCATAGATGGCACCTAAAATAAGACTTAAAAATAAAAACATTGTACAAGTTCACATATTGTGTTTTCTCTAGTATTTCACTTGTTATAAAGTTCTACAAATTAAAAAAAATGCTAACATTATCCCTTACCATTCCAGACCTAAAAATGAAGAGGCTGGGGTAGCTGTTGACGCCTTTCCTTTGGCAAAGCATTCTATCATCACCACAGTTAACAGCTCCAATTCGCAGTAATCCATCTACTTCTTTAGCAAAGTCTCTCCACTATGAGAGAAAAGCAACATATATTCTTCTGATAAAATCATTTTCTTTCCCTTGAAGTTTTCAAGCTACACATTCTTAAAAAAAAAACACCCAAAAAACTCACTGCCATCGAGTCGATTCAACTCATAGCGACCCTTCCTTGGGTTTCCAAGGCAGTATCACTACGGAAGTAGATTGCCCAACCTTCCTTCCGAGGAGTGGCTGCTGGGTCTGAACTGCCAGCCTTCTGGTTAGCAGTCAAATGCCTTAGGCACGATGCTACCAGAGCTTCAGAGTTCCTGAGGGAAACATTTTTAATCACATAAAAACCACACATATGTGAAAGTATCTGTTAATTCTTTTTTATAATTACATTAATAGAAAAATAAATCACAATGTACCGAAAAACAAAACCCAAATCTCGTTTAACAGAGTAACTAGAAATAAAAAACTTCAATAATACTCAAGACGTAAAGAGATACATACTGTGGGAGCTAAATCATGGCAGTGTGAACACCCCGGGGAGTAAAAATTTACAAACCACAGCTCTCCAGAATTAACAGCGGCATCTGCAAGTACAGAAGACCAAAACAATTCAGAATTGCTTCCTAAAGGTCCGTGCACATTTTAGTTTAAGGAATCTTCTTTTTTGGTAGGATTGGAATCTTAAAAATGCAGTTAGCCATAATGCCTTTACCATTTTTTATAAATTTTTTTTCCATAGAAAGAAGAAAACATTTCAACTGTTAAAGAAATGATCTTTTTTTTTTTTTTTTTTTGTCTCAAGCCCACACTTGAATGCCAAAGCTATAAAGCTATAAAGAAGTGGCAAAGGTTAAGTATGTGGTCAGTCAAGTAATTCTGATAGCTGCTTTAAAATCTGAGAGAATCAAGTAGGAGGCTTGTATGACAAAGTGTCAGGGGAGAGGTCGGGAATAAAACTGAATCTTTGCTTGAGACATTTATCCTGGAAAATTACGTTGTTTGAAAAATATAAAATCAAGATTTTTAACAACTAAAAACATTAATGCCAATTAACTGATTTGAAGATCACATAATGTCTAGTCAACAGCACATTATATACATAATCTGTAAGATGACCTGATGCAAAATAAATGAACTTTTACTCATTTTAAAATTGTATTAAGACATTAGAACAGCTAATATCTTCTGGTGGCATAGAAAAATGTAAGAAAAGGCACAGGGGCTTTGAGCTTCTCTTTAACTCCTTGAACTTGTCTTCAACAGGATGCCTGTATAGTACGGTTACTATTCAGAATAACCAGTAAGTGTGAGATGTTTTGTTTTGGAATTACTATCTAGAACTTGTTTATAATCACCGATACACTGGCATAATGTATAGTGTAATAGAAAGATAACATGTTTAATAGAAAGAATGCAAAACATTATTTTCTGTACGAAGCTGAACATTCTGGGGTTCTATTATTGATAGAGGTGAACCATGTGATTTGGATGAACTCTCCCCATTGCAAACAACTGGAAAACTAGAAAAACCATGAAATACGTCAGCTGAAAGCAGAGAGTTATCAATGTAATAACTAAAGGGTCAAGATAAAGGAGATGGAAATGAAAAAGCAGTGTTTGCCAATTCTAGAAGAGGTAGTTGAGAGCCAGGAAGCTGAACAGAGCTTTCAAGAGTTTTCATGAAGTTCTTACTGTTGTCAGCTGTGACACAGTCAGACTCAGGGTGACCCCATGTGTGCAGCATTGAACTGCTCCATAGGGTTTGCAAAGCTGTGACCTTTTGGAAGCAGACTGCTTGTTTTCCCAGGTGCCTCTGGGTGGCTGTGAACCACCAACCTTTTGGCTAATGGTCAAGCACTTAACCATGTGTGCCACCCAGGGACTTCAAGAGGTTACAGGACCAAAACTGGAGTTCAGGACACATCTAAGGAAGTGTCCTGTAAATAAAGTTGAACTGGGAAGTGACCAGCCCTCGCAATGTCCAAAGCTCAGCTTCTGAATAACTTCAATCACTGTACGGATAAAGTTGATCTGAGATTATCAGTGACCCTGCCAGTATATTCTCTGAAGTAAAACTTACATAATCTTATAATAGCTCTATAATTACCTGTTAAGTTATAGAGGAAGTCAAGACTACATAACTAAAATTAACGGAAACTAACGGTCATAGGGAGATGCACATCAGATAGGCTATGTGACAGTACTAAGTACAACGTGATACTACCCATACTTGCCATCTTCTCTTTTCTTCAGTAAAACTTCAGGATACTGTTGCTGTTTTTTTTTGTTTAAATGATAGCTGTACAAAGTTTGAAAGTGTAAGAATCTAATCCAATGTTTATAATTTTCTTATAAAGGAAAATACAGAACGATATTTTTATAGAAGTCTATTTTTACACCAATCACAGGTCAAATTAAATCTACTTCATTTTGCATACTTACAGATTCTACTACAGAAATACTAATGTTTTCATTATGGTATACTGCCTCAGATTCTGTGAGGAGTGTTTTTTAACACACACGTTAAATGTCAGCTGCTGTCAGGTCTGCTTTGACTCACGGTGACCCCATGCATGTGAGAGCAGCACTGTGCTTCACAGGGTTTTCAATGGCTGATGTTTCCGGAAGTAGAAGCCTGTGTTCAGAGGCACCTCTGGGCGGCCTCGAACTCCCCAGCACAGTAACCATGTGCACCAGCCACAGACTCCGTACACCCTGTTTACACCTAAAGGCCCAGGCCACTGAGCTGATTACAGCTCACAGTGACCCTGCAGGACAGAGCAGGGCAGCCCCCTGGAGTTTCCAAGACTGTCAATCTTCACGAAAGCAGACTGCCTCACCCTTCTCCTGTGGAGCAGACGATGGATTCCTTCAGTTAGCTGATCTTGCAGTTAGCAGCTGAGTGCTGTAACTACTTTGGCACCAGGGCACCTTTCACATACTTTCACTCCCTTCTGAAATCCCCCAAAATTTCTCAATATAATATAGAAAATATTTGTTCCCAAGAGTTTTAGAAAAGAAATCAGACTTGTACTAATCTTAGAAAATCCTGTGTCTCCAAACTTACCAAATTCTCTTCTATCCAGCGTTATGATTTCAGGATCATCATCATAAATACCTAATTTGAGAAGCACATCAAAATCATAAAATGAAAACTTCACTACCAGTTACAAACTCACATGAAAACAATTACTCACTCTTGATTCTTAATCATCCAAAAATCAGATTATTTGTAATCTCAAATTTGAAGAATATGCAACAAATTGCTAAAGGAAAAGCCAAAGTAAATAATACCATTGGTGATACATTTGAAAAACAATCTAAACATGTAATATTAGGTTCCTGATACCGACTGTCATCACAGGTAAAAGAGGTTGGTATCTTAGTATTTATTTAATTTCATCTTCAAAGAAAATTTCTATTATATATATTTTAAACTTATTGTTTTGAAATACATATAGACCCACAGGAAGTTGCACAAACAGTACCGACTCCTGTGTACTTTTCTCCTGGCTTCCTCTGATGACGACATGTTATATAGCTGCAGTTCATCATCAAAATCAGAAAACTAACATGGGCTCCTTACTGTTAACTGCACTATACAGGTTTCACTTGGTGTTCATATTATATGGTTACTTAGAAGAGGTATCATTTAAAAATATTTTCTATTACTAAAAATCACATAATTAGAATATCTGTAGATGTAGAGACAAACTTATTTCATAAATATAAATTTTTCACAATAATTAACACTAATGTAAGAAGATTTCTCACACTACATAAAATACTCAAATAATATTAGTGATAGCTATACCCCAACCAAACCAAACTCCACCAAGTTGATTCTGACTCATAGTGAATCCCACTAGGTTCCAAGGAAGCAGACTGCCTCATCTTTCTTCTGTGGAGCAGCTGGTGGGTTTGAAACACTGACCTTTTGGTTAGCAGCCCAATGTCTTAACCACTACAGTACCTCCTTACCTATACATCAGGGATCAGCAAACTTCTTCTGTAGAGGCCAGATAGTAAAAATTTTAAGCTATATAGGACGTATGGTCTCTGTAGCAACTACTCACTTTACCCTTTAAGTTTAAGAGCAGTTATAGACAACACATAAGCAGATAAGAGTACTTGGGTTCTAATAAATTTATTTACTAAAACAGGCTAGATTTGGCCTGTGAGATGTAGTTTGCCAATCCCTGATACAGACTTAAACTGTAGGGAATTTACCAGCCAATACTATTTGAAGAGACAGTCTTGAGAAACAAAATCTCCAAACATAAGTTTATAGTATTTTATTTAGTTAATTATAAAACTATACTTCAATCCTTAGCTTGCATTTGAGGCTAATTAATGATAGGAGAAATACTGGATATTGTATGACCCCTTTCCGCCTTGATACCAATGGCCACTTTCATTCTCCCTTGGTCCGTTTCCTCCGTTTTTGCCTCCTTTCTTTCTTTTTCTTGTCACTGCCTTAAACCATATGAGAAAGGCAGCATTTCTACAGACGAGATCACTATTAGAGCTTAGAAAATATGACTGCCTAAACTGAAAGGCTTCAATATTTAACTTCCAATGCAAATAGTTTTTTTAGTTGAACAGCAATTCTTATTTCAAAATTTCTTAAGATTATGACAAATGTCTTTCTACAGATAATATCTAACAACCGACTTACTTTCCTTTTGTATTCTACTCCCAACATATTCTAAAGAGAAGGTCAAGGTGATTTTATTAACTACGTAAGCTAAGTGACAAAACAAAATGAACTTTTCTAAATTCACTCAAATAACAAACAAACTTCATAATAATCTTATTATCTTACCAAAATCATAATGGTAATAGTTCCAGCTTTCATACTGGCCTCCTTGATTATCTGCAAGACCTTTTTCTCCGTATTTGTCATACTTTTTCCGCAGATCTTCATCTTTGAGTACTTCATATGCTCTATTTATTTTTAAAAAATCACCATGTGCATTTGGGTCATTCTATTAAAAAAATATTATAAGCAGTTGTTTTAGATACACAATCCAAGTCTCTTCTCTTCAGTACCTAAATGTAAATTTAATTAAACCATGAGATTTCTGTAAACCAGATACTAGCTAAGGTCCCTAGGTGTAACACATGGTTTATGGTCAACCATTAATTTAAAGGTTGGTGGTTCAAACCCACCTACCAGTGCTAAGGAAAAAGGCATGGCAACCTGCTTCCATAAATATCATGCATACCCAAGAAAACCTTATGGAGCAGTTCTACTCTAGAACATATGGGGTTGCCATGAGTCAGAACTGACTTGACAACAATGGGTAGGTACCCAATAGGAGGGACAGTACATGGAAAAAGGAGCTATCATGGGCCGAAATAAAAAGAACTATTTTTTGAAGAAATGACCATTTTCAAAAAAGATTAAGAAATTGGGAACTGATTCTTCAAAAGGTTGATGTGCTCACACAAACTAAGTCATTCCTTCTAAGAAATATGAGAAAAAACTGATTAATAAATGCTTTAAACTCTTAAGTTTTGTAAATATTTGTTTATTTCTAAGACATTTTCAAAGAAACAGATTTGTAGATTTTTCTTCTATTTGAGGTAAAATCAACATATTAACTAAATAAATGTTTTGTGTCCCAATCCATCACATAATTAAAAAAGAATTAACGTCATAGCAACAACTCAAAACTGGTTGGAAATGTTCATTTGTTACTATTTCATAGAAATGGTTTCTTGAAGGATGCTTTCATTTAAATGACACTTGGATAAGGAAAAGAGCCCTGGTGGTATAACCAAGTGGTTAAGCACTTGACTGCTCACTAAAGGTCACCTGTTATCATCTCCTAGCTACTCTACAGGAGAAAAGACCCATCAACCTTCTCCCATAAAGATTCAAACCAAAGCCAAACCCATAACCGTAGAGTCATATCTGACTCCTAGAGACCCCTCCTTGGTCTCTGAAGCAGGTTATCACTATGGAAGTAGATTGTCCAACCTTCCTTCTGAGAGTGGCTGCTGGGTTTGAACCACCAGCCTTCTGGTTAGCAGTCAAAGGCCTTAGGCACTACGCTACCAGAGCCTAGGAAACCTTATGGGGCAGTTTTACTTTGTGCTATAGGGTTGCTACGAGTCAGAATTGCCTTGACTGCAATGGCCTTGGACTTGGATAAGGAAGATCTTAGATCTTTCATATGGAAGCTGAAAAAAATAAGTAAATAAATAAATCATATTCTGAAATTTTAAAGAAAAATCTGAAAAAATGAAAACCCTAAATATAATAATGTAGATCTCAGGGGAAGATTACTAATTAGCAAGGCTTTTAAAAAATCATTGTTTCTGTTGCTCAGCTTTATGGAATCAAATTAAATGATTCTATTTAAAAAATTCTAACTGGAAAATGAAAAGCCAAAACACAACTATGTCCTTCTCCTTGCCCATGATGAGCATCTAATCTCATTAAGAAAAAAATGAATGAAATAAAAATACCATAAAAATGAAAACAAAATCACTTTGGAAAGATTACAGTATTAAATTCATATTTATGGGCTCTACTCCTCTGCCCCTGCGTGGGATATGAGTCGAGCCCCAGCGCGCTGGAACTCCGAATAAACTCCTCCTGCTTTTGCATCAAGAGACGTCTTTCGCGGGGCAAGATGGCGGACTAGGCAGAAGGATTGCACAGACCCTCTTCAACAAAGAAAAGGGAAACCAATTAACACAGACACAGAAGATAAT